GATGCGCAGCGTACCGGACCGCAAACGGCCACAGAAAATGGGGGGCAGCCGCATGGATCATGGAGGTACGAGCGACCTCCATGACTAAGCCAATGCGGCGCTCAGCAATCCCATTTTGCTGCGGTGAGGCCGGAAGCGTGAACGACTGGAGGATGCCCTCCCCACGACAAAAGTCCTGCAAGAGGTCGGAGGAGAACTCACCACCTCTGTCAGAGTGCAGACGCAGGACAGGAAGGTCCTGGCGGAACCGCTTGCGTAGATGGAGACGGACTGCGCGGATCCAAGGGATCAAGACATAAGGGACGTCACCCTTGCTGCGCAAGGGGAAGACTGTGGTGTACCACGTGTAGTCGTCAACAGCAGCAGAAAGTTGCGCTCACGGCCCTATCCACTGACGCTGGCTGGGCCCCACACGTCCATCTGGAGGGTCTGCAGGGGAGTAGTCGTCGGGGGAAACGAGGAGGAGCGAGGAGCGGCGCGCTGCCGCCCCTCGACGCAAGGAAGGCAGGGCGGGGCAGGCGAGGGCGGTAGGGGAGGCAGAGACCTGGGAAGACCAGAAACAAGGAGGCGGGACTGCATGCCACGAAGGTGTGGCAGGGAGGGGTGACCAAGGCGGTGGTGCCACAGGAGAGTCTAGTGCGACAGGAGGCGACACGAGCAGGGAGGTGCTACCGGACCTGACGCAGACACCTAGGCAGACGCAGCTACCTGAGGAGGCTCGGTAGCCAGGGTGTACAGACTCGACCCTGGCCGACGGGTGAATGTGGCCAGGTGAAGGCCCATCCGTGTACACGTGCAGATCGACACACGCTGGCCCCCAGGAGTGGTGGTAGTGACCATCGCATCCTGGAGGGCAGCGTTACTCACCAAGTTCGTAGAGAACGAGGGGAGATGAAGACCTGAGAGTGAGCCGGACGGAACCGCCAGACACGGGAGAACAGTGGAGGAACGGGCAAGAACTGGGCCCCCTGAGGGGTCAGCCAGTCTGACCGGTACAGTTGCAGAGAGAGGAGTGAGGGTGGTGCTGTCGCAAAAGAAACAGCGGGAAGCACCTGAGTTAAGCGTGAAGGTGTGCAAGGCCTCAGCAGGCACAGTACTAGGGAGAGCAGACTCACTAGCACCTAGAGCAGCAGCCTCTATACCTGGGTCATGCGGCACACACAGATAATAGTCACCCTCAGCACTAACAGACAAGGCATACATAGCAGGAAGGATAGCATCATAGTCAAGGTCAGAGATAGCAACTCCAGACCTAAGCAGCTCTGCCCAGCAGGGGCGCTCGGCCTCGTCATCAAACTCTGCGCGCCAAGCGTAGTCTAGGCGGGAGAAGCAGCGGTGCTGAGTGTGAGGCTTCCTGCATGTCTGACCAGCACGGTCACCCGTGCGAATGACATACGGGCAACTACCACTACCCCCAGACGCCCCACGCTGAGAAAACCACTCACGAAGCTGCTGGGGCGACGGGGTCTCACTCCGACGCTTCTGCTGCTGCCTCTGGCCACCGCCAGACCCTCCTTACTGAGTAGCTCCAGCCCTACCGCCACCACTCCCACTGCCGCCACTACCGCCACCCCCACCGCTGCCACCACCGCCTCCGCCAAAGCCCCCACTCCCGCCGCCACTCCCACCACCGCCACCACCTCCACTGCCTCCACCACCTCCACTGCTGCCCCCACCACCACCCCCGCTGCCACCGCCACCACCCGTGCCACCCTTGCCCTTGCTGCTGCGGCGCTTCCCACTAGCAGAAGCAGCCCCGACATCCTCAGCACCAAGGACATCAACAGTAGCAGCAGAGGCGTAGGAGGGGGCAAGGGGGGAGGGGGAACACCCCTCAAAAAAGGGCGTGCAAGGAGTGCCACGAGCGGCACCTACAGCAACTACACTAGTCTCAGCTGCAAGGAGGTGCTGCTCGAGTAGGTCAACAGTGAGGGCTGTGGGGTCAAGTGCGAGAAAGTGGTCCCTGATAGAGCGAAGAGAGTCAGGGAGGCGGGTGACTATAAAGTAGAGAGTGATGTACATCGGGGGCGGGTTCTTGTCAAGGAACTCTGCCGGGAGGGCAGCGCGGTAGCGAGCGTCGCTAGTGCGAAGGTGGGTAACTAGGTCCTCCGCTGTGGCAAAGGCGGACAACTTGGGAAACAGGTAGGGCAGGAGAAGACGCTCTAGAGCGGCAGTGGCAGGCGAGGAGTAACGGGCGACTACAGCGTCGTACAGTGCCTGTGCATTCATGTGCTGTCCGAAGTGAGCGCATTTGGCTAACGGCAGGTGGTTGCGAATGGCTAAGCGAGCAGTAGCGTCACGAGTAAGCCACTGTGAGCGAGTCACACTTTCAGCTGTGGTGGGAGGGGCGAGAGAGGCTCCAGACGTGTGGTCAAACAACGAAACGCTGTCTCTAGAGTCGCTCAGTAGGTACAGCTGTAAGTCGTCGAGCCATGTGTCGAACTGGATCGGACGGCCCTCGTGATCGAACGCGAGTACGCGGCGAGAGGCCAAAACAGCGCAGCATGCAGGGCGAGCAGGAGCCGGGCAGCGCAAGGAACAGGGCAGGCAGCAGCAAGGGGCGGCAAGCGGGCTGCAGGTGGCAGCGCGCAGGCTGCAAGAGTGGCAGCTTGCGGGCCTAGGGGCGGCTGGCGGGCCTAGGGGCGGCAGGTGGGCCGCAAGGGGCGGCGCGCGGGGCTGCAGGGGCGGCTAGAGGGCCGAAAGGGGCGGCGCGCAGGGCTTTGTGGGCGGCTCGCGGGCTGTAGGGGCGAAGGGCGGGCCGCAAGGGGCGGTGCGCGGGGCTGCAGGGGCGGCGAGCAGGGCAGCAGGGGCGGCACGCAAGGCCTAGGGGCGACGGGCGGGCCGCAAGGGTCGGCGCGCGGGTCAGCAGGGGCGGCGGGCTGGCCGCAATAGGAAGCGCGCGGGGCTGCAGATTCGGCTCGCGGGCTGCAGGGGCGAAGGGCGGGCCGCATTGGGCGGCGCGCGGGGCTGCAGGGGCGGCGAGCAGGGCAGCAGGGGCGGCGCGCGGGGCCTAGGGGCGACGGGCGGCGCGCAGGGCAGCAGGGGCGGCGGGCGGGCCGCAAGAGGCGGCGCGCGGGGCTGCAGGGGCGGCGGGAGGGCCGCAAGGGGCGGCGCGCGGGGCTGCAAGGGCGGCTCGCGGGCTGCAGGGGCGAAAGGCGGGCCGCAAGGGGCGGCGCGCGGGGCTGCAGGGGCGGCGAGCAGGGCAGCAGGGGCGGCGCGCGGGGCCTAGGGTCGACGGGCGGGCCGAAAGGGGGCTGCGCGCGGGGCAGCAGGGGCGACGCGCGGGCCGCAAGAGGCGGCGCGCGGGGCCTAGGGGCGACGGGCAGGCCGCAAGGGGCGGCGTGCGGGGTAGCAGGGGCGACGGGCGGGCTGCAAGGGTCGGAGCGCGGGGCTGCAGGGGCGGCACGAGGGCAGCAGGGGCAACACGCTGGGCTGCAGAGGGCGGCGCGTGAGCCAGCAAGGCGGCGCGCTGGTAGGGCAGGGCAGATAGCAGCTCTGTGGTAGGCCCTAAAAAAAAAAGGTCCTAGCGAAGGACCTGCTCTGAAACCATGTCAGAAGAATGAACGAGAATGAATGAACTAGCAAAGAGTTGGGTACAAGTACTAACCCTAATTGGGTTGTACCGCTTATGGGCTACCCCACTACAGGCTACATAATGTAAGCTAGATATGAGTTTGACACCACCGAGGTCCATGAACGTTTCCCCGAGTTCCTCCACACGAGTCGCATACTCGTGCATCGATTCGCCCGCGCGCATCTTCACGGTGTAGAACGCATTCCGGGCTAGGATCTTGCCGTGGAGAGTCTTGTTCACGTGCATCGTCTTGAGCCGCTTCCACGCTTCATGCGCCGACGCTTCGAGCTTGATGCACATGCGCACCGAGCTCACAAGATTTATGCCGATGTGCGAAATCAACGTAGCGAACGCCTTTTGGTCCTTCTTCTTCCATGCCGCAATGTCGCTCTCGTTGTCCGGCTTCTTCTCCGTTCCATTGAAGAAACCCCGGAGTCCCCGCTCCATCATGAACACTTGGAACTTAAAATTCCACGCGGAGTAGTTTTGTCCCGTGAAAATCGGTACCGCCGACGTGTCGAACATCGTCGCGGTTGCCTAGGGTTTGCCGGAATTGACAACGACACCATCCAAGGAAGTGCGGGAGGCCTCGCTTGACGTCGACATGCTAGCTTCTTGTTGCGCGCGTAGACTCCTCCGACCAGCTTTGATACCACTGTTGTAAAGGACTCTCCTCTACTTTGCAGGAACTGGGATTTGTCTTAATCACTAGAGCTCTGTCTTAGCTTTCCAACGAGCCATCAATTGTGTCGATCGCCTAAGTATCGAGCGAGTTATGGCCTCTAACGTGAAAGCTATGCTCTAGGTTGAAGGATAGGATGCTCTCTGGAACTTGTGTCGAGTTGAACTGTGTATAGGAAACTCTGATTTTCAGTATGAAACATGCAAACAAGGCGAGCATGTTTATAGCTACTCAATACATTGAGTCGCACATGTAACATCTAGTCACTACGAGATGTGTCGCGAACATTCGTGTAACATTTCAAACGGGGTAAAATTCGGTACTCGAATTTCACCGAATGCTCCTTCAATCTCGAATGTTCCTGATGCTGCCATGTGGCACCGAATTGGTGGAGTCTTCCGAAGTCAAACTTCAACCCCACGCAAACCTGCAGCTCACTCGAAGGTGAGCACCAAAAACAGCACCGCTTGGTGGTTGGGGGCAAAACCGCCCCACGCAACCTCCAACACTCCCCCTTGCACCCAAGCCACTAGGTGCTCAAGCCAACACGCTCACAGCATGCACGGAACGAGTTTTTAGGGAGTGGTTTGGTGAGGAAATCCGCCGGTTGAGCTTTGGTGCTCACATAAGTGAGTTTGACCTCACCCTTCTCAACCGCCTCACGAATGAAGTGATGCTTCACTTCGATATGCTTCACTTCGATATGCTTGGTTCGCCCGTGAAGGACGGCGTTGTGAGGGAGGCTTATGGCGGCTTGGTTGTCACAAAAGAGAGGAGTTGGGTTCGGTTGAGGATGCCCAAGCTCCGCTAGAAGACGCCGTAACCATATTGCCTCCATGGCACCTTGAGTGAGGGCCATATATTCCGCTTCCGTTGAGCTTAGAGCCACGGTTGGTTGCTTCTTGCTTTGCCAACTCACGGCTGCCCCAAGAAAGGTAAAGACATACCCGGAGGTACTCTTGCACGTGCTCGGATCTCCTGTGTAGTCCGAGTCGGCATAGCCATTGAGTTCGATTGGGCCAGCTTCATACACGAGCCCCAAGTTAGGTGTGCCTTGGAGGTAGTGTAGAACGCGTCCTCCCGCGCGCACATGCTCGGTATGAGGGTTGCTCACGACTCGTCCAAGCACCCCGGCGGCGTATGCGAGGTCGGGACGAGTAGAAACGGCGGTATACATGAGCGAGCCCACTAGCGAATGAAACCGCTTCCCTTCGGCTTCGTCGAGGGTGGATTCTTCCTCTCCCGTGAGGCAAGAAAATCCCGTAGCTAGTGGTGTTCCCACCGGTTTGCTATTGCCCATGCCAAAGCTCTCCACTACCCCCTTCACATACTTCTCTTGGTGGAGGTGGATGGTCCCACTGGCTCGGTCACGGTCGACGTGCATCCCAAGGTAGTACGTGACCGGCCCCAAGTCCCTTATCGCAAACTCCGCCCCTAGCCGTTGCTTGACCTCCCGAATGAGGTCTTTGGAGTCGGAGAAGAGGAGTAGGTCATCGACGTAGAGTAAAAGCACCAATTGCTTCTCCCCTTCCTTCAACACGTACAAAGCGCTATCGCACTCGCTACAAGTGAAGCCGTGTTGAAGAAGAAACTCGTCGATGCGCTTGTACCATCCGCGTGGACTTTGATTCAAGCCATAGAGGGTACGCTTGAGCTTCCATACCCTTCCGCTACCATCATCGTACCCCGGGGGTTGCCGCATGTAGACCTCTTCCATGAGAAGCCCGTAGAGGAAGGCGGTGCAAACGTCCAATTGGTCCACTTCGAGGTTGAGAGATGTCGCTAGCGCGAGCAACAACGAAGAGTAGTAGCCTTAGCGACGGGAGCGAAGATCTCACTATAGTGCTCCCCCTCCTGTTGAGTGTATCCTTGAGCTACAAGCCTCGCCTTGTAGCGTTCGACACTCCCATCGGCTCCCAACTTCTTCTTAAGCACCCATTTGCACCCCACCAAGTAGGCACCCTTCGGTGGGTCGACGAGCTCGAACACATCATTCTCTTTGATCGATGCTAGTTCCTTCTCCATCGCTTGCTTCCATAGTGGCGCATCCGGAGAAGCCAAAGCCTCGGTATGGGTGCGAGGGTCATCACCCAAGGTTGCGAAGCAATATGCCGCACGCTCCTCGTCCAACTCCCCAACGGCTACTGTAGCATAGTCAGTGTACTTCGTGTTGGGGCGACGTGTACGTTGCTCGCGGGTCAGCGCCAATGGGAGGGAGGAAGGTGTTGAGGAAGTTGCCGCCACGGTTGATGGCACTTCCACCACGTCGTCATCGCTCTCCTTGTTCTCTCCCCCTCCATTTTCGGCTTCCTTTTCCACTTGTGATGGAACCTGTTAACGGCAGTGGAGTGTTGGCCCCGCCCTCGCTTGGGTAATGCCAACGACTTGGTCGGATGTACAGGAGTAGCAGCCGACCGTTCACAGTGGGAGAGCTGCTCGACAGGCTTCGTCGAGCTGCAGGGGACTGCTGTGGTGTTGCTGTCGACCAGGGAGCTCGACAGCTGCATCTGACTGGTCTGGGCGACGGGTGGGCCGTCGACCAGGAGGGGCAGTTCGACCAGGAGGTCGACGGAGCAGTCCGTCGACCTGAGAAGTGAGCAGCAGTCGACGAGGGGAGCTCGGCGACAACAAGCTAACAGTTCTGGTCGACGGAAGGGGTCCGTCGACCAGGGGGTAGCTCGACAAGAGCTGTGGTCGACCAGGGGCACCTGGTGGTCGACCAGAGGGACCCAATAGTCGACTAGAAGCACTTGGTGGTCGACTAGAGCACCTGGGGTTGTCCAGGTCGACCGGGTAACCTGCTCGGCAAGTTCTGCGGAGGCACGCAAACGCCGTCGATGTCGCGATGGCGAAGGCGACTTCGGGTTGGTATCCCGAAGTCGATGTGGCTCGTCAGGCGCAGACAACAGCCGACGGATGCACAACGGTGCAAGTCGGGCCAATCGTCTGCGCGCATCTGCGAGCGTGCGCACTGCTGTCTTCTACGGGGCAACGCTGGACAGCCGCTCTGCTACAGCGTTGGCACACCGTCGACCTGCTGTGTTGGCAGGTCGACTTTCTGCAGTGCTGGCGCGGTTCCTCTACGCAACGCTGGCAGGTGGTCGACCATGCTGTGCTGTCGGTCGACCAGGCTAGCTGCTGAGTTGCTAGGTGCCTGATGTAGTCATTGTTGTCATTGCTTGTTGAATAATTCTGGAATTCCAACTTTGCTAGTGGAAACTCTTGCCAATTTCTCCCGTGATTGTGCAAGCACTAAGGAACTAGGCAAAGCTACGATCACTCCTAGTAGTTCGTGCCAACCCCCATAGTCTAGCTCACTACCGTTGTAGACTATTTCTCCACATGGTGCGGTCAGCGTGGATCGAACACGCGACCTTCAGATAGGAGCCGACTTTTGCACCTACTAAGTCATTCGTAGGCCAGCAGCAGCGATAGTCACCATGGTCGACCCCGTAGCTAATGCGGGCGTAGCGGACACCTTGGAGGCACGCTTGGCTGATGCGAGCAAACGCCACGCGGATGGCGAGTACGGGACGATCCCCTTGCCGATCGATGAGTTGGGGATTCGGACGCAGTGGGCGACGTAACACCCTTCCCGTCCTTCTTCTCCTCGACCGGTGCGAAACGAAGGTTGCGTCGACGACGAGTTCGACGGCGGTGCACGAGTCAGCGGCAACAATGGCACGAAGCAGAGAGGAGTGATCAAGGTCGACGGTGGCGTCGACAGGACTCAGGCGCGAGTGCAGCAGTCGACGGCAGCTGCAGGCAGCTCGCGTGCCGACGTTCATGGTCGACGTCGCTCTCCTCTATGAAGCGGTGGAGGGCTCTCAGCGACGACGCATGTGACGGCGGGCGGGATTGCACCGACGTATGGCCACTTCAAGTTTTCACCGGACCGGATTATTGTCGCACCTCTGCAAGGTCGACGAGACCTCATCACCTGGAGGGAGTCGATAGAACCCTAGCTGGAGGTCGCCGGGCTGAAGGGCTTCGCCGACGGCACAGTGCCAATTCCGCCCGTGGACAATGTTGAGCTGCGCGGGGAGTTTCGTGTGGCTCACTTGCTCACATTCATGGTCATCTCGAGGTGCTGCTCGCCGGTGGTGCAGCTGGCGCTCAGGAGCTGTCGAGAGTGACTGGATGCTGGTCACTAGGCATGGCACTTCATCATGTCGACGTACCAGGTCAGGGGCGACCTTGTTAGAATATGGAACGAATGAATCAGAGAAGAGGGGTTTCACTAGCAAGCAGTTGAGTACATATAGCAAACCCTAAATTGGGCTGTACTCACTATTGAGTACCCCACTGCAGGCTAGACAAATATAACATTCTGACACACCCCCATAGCCAAAGTGGGGTGTAATCAGCACAACAAGCAAAGCAAAACAAGCTCAGGGTGGATCACAACGTCACCACACATTCTGAGCACAAGTACAAGAAGCAGCAGTTTATAGTTCAAAGTAATAAGTAAAGCTACAGGCTATCACAGAGGGCAAGTGAGGAGGAGGAGGCTGGACTGATAGGAAAGGAGATAGGAGACAACGCCTGAAGCTGCAGACACACGGGCAACAGGAGCGGCGCGCACAGTGGCTACCGGAGCAACGGCCCCGGACTACAGGAGTAACTGGCTCGGCGGCTAACTCTGAGCGGCAGGAGCAACGGACCCACGGGCTACAGGCACAGCAGGCTCTCTGAGCTACCAGCAGCAAAGGCCCCGGACTACAGGTGCTGCGGGCGACAAGACGGCTGCCTCCGCCCAACATCCCCAAACTGTCCCACCCCCCTTTCACACACCCCCTGCTGCACCTCTAACTCTGCTCACACGCCACCCCCCCGTAGTACTACTCCGACAGCTCCCACATATCCACCCCCCGCAGCGGCAGCTGCAGCAGTGGGAGACGGAGGAGGAGAAGGTGCACACACCCGCCACCCCCATACCCGCCACCCCACAGGTGCACGGGGACAGGAGGCGGCGAGGGGAGGCTCGTGGGCTGCAGGAAGGGGGGGGGGGGGGGGGGGGGGGGGGAGAGGGCCGCGCGGGCCCCAGCAATGGGAGGCAAAGGCAGGGCCGCGACAGGGCGGCTGCAGGGCAGGGTCGCAACAGGCGGCGAAAGCAGGGCCGCGACAAGCGGCGACGGGTCGGGACGGGCCGGCACCGGGCCGGGACGGGCGGCGACGGGCCGGCGACGGGTGGCGACGGGCATGGACGGGCCGGCGACGGGCAGGGACGGGCCGGCGACGGGCAGGGACGGGCCGGGACGGGCAGGGACGGGCCGGGACGGGCAGGGACGGGCCGGCGACGGGCAGGGACGGGCCAGCGACGGGCGGCGACGAAACCGCCGCACGCCTTGGGGCGTGCGACGGGCAGGGCACCGTCGCGTGCGACGGGGCGCACGACGGGCAGGGCAGGGCGTCGCGCGGCCACCAGGGCTGCGCGATGGGCAGAAAATCGCCGTGCGCTCCGAGCGCGCGGCGGGAAGAAAAAGATGCCGCGCGCCATGAGCGCGCGGCAGGCAGAAGACCGGCGCGCGCCCGAGGCGCGGGATAGGCAGGACAGCAGCAGCGGAAGCTAACGGTGGGCCCATGCACAGGATCGACCCGGGAGGGTCGACCTGCTCTGATTCCATGTTAGAATATGGAACGAATGAATCAGAGAAGAGGGGTTTCACTAGCAAGCAGTTGAGTACATATAGCAAACCCTAAATTGGGTTGTACTCACTATTGAGTACCCCACTGCAGGCTAGACAAATATAACATTCTGACAGACCTGTACATCGCACAGCTGGAGAAGATGACTCACATTCGGATGGGCGAGCAGGAGTCGGCGACGGACTACTGCAACTGTGCTCGATGGATCCTGGCTGAGATGCGGATGGCGGGCGCCGAATACTCGATGGCGTCCTACATCTCCCACATCGTCAAGGGCCTGCCGCGCGGCTACAATCTCATGAAGAGGATGATGATGGTACCTGGCACGCATGAGTCCCTCGACGAGGACTCCATCACCAGCTACATTCTTCAAGATGAGGCGATGTAGGAGGCCGAACAGCCCATGGAGCTCCTCCCTCATGCAAAATACGCTGCACCAATGAAGCTGAATCAGCAGCAAGGGCAGCGCGGGAAACCGGGCGGAGGTGGTAGCAGAGGTGGGTGGTCGAAGAAGGACGTTGACGAGAAGAGGTCGACGCGGGACAAGGGCAGAGGAGGTGGTGGTCGACGGCGGGAGTGCTGGATCTGCCACGACCCCGACCACCTTTCCTACGAGTGTCTCGATCGCGATGACAGCGACGAGGACGACACCAAGGGAGGCCGCGGTCGATCGACCAGCCGTCGCCCACGTCGAGATGCGAAGCCGCGCAAGGAGGAGAAGACGTCGTCGACGAAGGACGTCGACAACTCCAGCGGCAAGAGCCGAGGCGATGGGGAGGCGTCGTGCTCGATGGTCGGCGCAGTGGAGCCGACCGTCTCGTTGGCGCCGGAGGCTGGCAAGGACTTCCAGGCGGTGGCGGCAGCTGTGCAAGCCAACCCGATGGCGGTGATGCTTGACAGCGGCTGCTCCCACCACCTGATGGGGACGAAGGCGGTCTTCGTCAACATGGCGCCGAGCGACGGCGTGAAGCACGTGCGTGGATTCAACGGGGCACTACAGCCTGTTGAGGGCCGCGAAACCGTCGCCCCGCAAGGGGAGGCCGGGAAGCGGGTCCTCATTCCCGACGT